CCGTAAACTCTGGTTAGGTAAGATACGAACGAATTTAGATTTTTAGTTTGGCGGGTGTTTTGTGCACCTTTCGTTGGTTGCACTTTCGTTCGTTTTTTCTTCGATCAATTGTTCATAGTTCGATCAGTTGGTCATAGAAGATCTTTATTAATGGAGGGTGGTTGGGAATCGGTTAGGGCAGGTCTTCATTCGCAGCAACCTCCAGCGTTTTGTGTTTAATTAATAATCTTATCACTCTTAGCTGGGTAATGCAACTATTAATTAAAAACTAAATAATATTAGCAAATTGGCTGCGATCCACTTTGCATAGATCATCATAGATATAGAGCTTCTTCGCTAGGTTAGTTTTGATTCTCATTAATTCATCAAAGATTCTAAAGTATCGCCACAGGTGAGGTATACGAGTAGATCTTTCACCCAATGTATTTTTTCGGCCCATTACCATTTTCGGAAACTCCATACTGAGTACTTTCTCGACGATGGTGTGAATTATACAATTATAAATAAAACTTAGCAATGTTTAACATTTCAACGCAATAGTTTAAACAATTCTTAACAATATGTGGTATATGAATAATGAAAGGGCTCGTCAGTATGGGTAATTAATCATTTTTCGCGAAATAATTTGTCCACCGGACGGGTTGAGATGGCTGACACGCGCTGTGCTATCCCCACTCCTCCGCCACGCATTAAAGGCTCGTGCGGAGACTTATGTGTCTCACTCTCGCGGGGGACACCAAGGGTGGCGGACCTCCTGGCGTGGTGGGCATCCCGGGACCATCCTAGGCTGACCAGGGGGACTAGTACTGACCACTACTGACCACTACTGACCACTATTGACCACTACTGACCAGTGGTGAGCATACGATGACCAATAGTGACCAGTGGTGAGTCTTGCTTAAGTCTCCCCCCTCTCTCTTATTTTTCTGACTTTAAACTTGCTCATTCATTGTTTACTATCCTTTGATGAAAAATTGTGTTTGTTAAATTTATCGGTTTTCGTTTCGTTAGTGTGGATGTTTCCACCATTTTTGACATACAATGAGATATCCCATTGACTGGTTCTTCTATTATTTTGACAATTGTTGCCTTACCTTGACCATATATGGCTTTGAAAGAAAATGATTCTGTATGGGGTATTTCCTTCGATGGTTTACTGTTTCTGTTTCCAATTCTTTCCCCAACTTGTATCTGTCTTTATCGATTAATCTGAATCTTCATTTCGATTTTGTTTGCGAAATGGCTTTGACGATTTCACTACTTCTGGTATTAATCAAATCTGATTTGGTGAGATGTCGTAGTCTCGTGTCGTAGAATATTTTTATTGGTCAACTGGGTTTATCAGCATCATCTATCGATTAATCTGAATTTTTATTTCGATTTTGTTTGCGAAATGGCTTTGTCGATTTCACTACTTGCGGTATTAATCAAATCTGACTTGGCAAGATGTCGTAGTCTGATGTCGTAGAATATTTTTACTGGTCAGCTAGGTTTATCAGCATCGTCTATCGATTAATCTGAATTTTTATTTCGATTTTGTTTGCGAAATGGCTTTGTCGATTTCACTACTTCTGGTATTAATCAAATCTGATTTGGTGAGATGTCGTAGTCTGATGTCATAGAATATTTTTACTGGTCAGCTAGGTTTATCAGCATCGTCTATCGATTAATCTGAATTTTTATTTCGATTTTGTTTGCGAAATGGCTTTGTCGATTTCACTACTTCTGGTATTAATCAAATCTGATTTGGTGAGATGTCGTAGTCTGATGTCATAGAATATTTTTACTGGTCAGCTAGGTTTATCAGCATCGTCTATCGATTAATCTGAATTATTATTTCGATTTTGTTTGCGAAATGGCTTTGTCGATTTCACTACTTGCGGTATTAATCAAATCTGACTTGGCAAGAGGTCGTAGAATATTTTTACTGGTGGAATTGTTCCGTCGTTTTGACTGAGTGTATCTAATACGTTTCGTCTGACATTGTTTCATTTATTAATATTTTCACATTCTTATCACGCGTAAATTTTGTACATTTCTTTAGGTAGGTCTACCCATCAAGAAATATTAATCAGAATACAATAATTGTATTCTGTGTAGGAATATTTCAGAATTTCTTAGCTTGTTCGACACGTCAGCTCAACAAAGTATTTCTCCACTCGTCGAATTACAGATGGATTTCATAAGGTTCATTAAATTTTCTTTAATATGATACTGATACAAGTATTAATTTTTGTTCTAGGTCAGATCTATTACAGATCGATTCCAACGACATCGAGGGGCATATAATTCCAAGTATATTAGACTTAAGGTTCGTGGCGAACTTTAAAATTAACGTCGAAGATTTCTTTATATCATATCTCCGCGCGCTACCAAGCAATTATTCATCAAGTAGCTTCTCTCTCGCTCGTTCCCTCGTTTCTTGCTTCGGTCGCCGCTGTTTCATCGATTGAAACATGTGATCGGCCGTGTATCTGGTCCGAAAGATCTAATCGCCTTCCCTTGGTAGCACGATCCAGGGAAAATGGTACTCTGCTGGAAGGTGTGGAGTTTCCGTATCCTGCGGAAACGCATACCTTCCAGCGGAAGTCGACACTGAAACAGAGGTACTCTCTCTTTGTCAGACAACTTGAGTCGGGTCCTTCGGGCTCCCGGCGGGTTGCGTTGGAGCAATGGAGACCTTAGATTCGGAGTCGCAGCCGTCCGTTATCCTGTAGAGATCTAGTTAGCAAGGGCAGTAGGTTCGATCCTCGGATCCGCTGCACGGTTCAGCGTCGCGTCGCGTCTCGTCGCGTGCCCCTCAAATTAACTTCATCCCTCTTTTTAACCAAATAATTGCTTGGTACATCCAAGGAACTTTGTTTCCTTCTATCGTCCGAATTTTAGTTTCAACTTGACTCGACTTGAGCTTCGACGTTAATTTTAAGTCTCTACTGTATGTGTCTCCCAATATTGCCAAGTAATTATTTAACAAGTAGCTTCTCTCGATTCGTTCTCTCGTTTTTCGCCACGATCACCGCTGTTTCATCGATCGAAACATGTGATCGGCCGTCCAGTTTGTCCGAAAGATTTAGTCGCCTACCAATGATAGATCGATTGCTAGAAATAGGAATCAATCTACCAAGGGCAGTGTCGATTCGATCCGAAGATCTGCTGCACGGTTCAGCATCGCGTCGCGTATCCCACAATATAGCTTCACCCCTTTTCAAACGAAATAATTACTTGGTGCAACTAAACTAGAAGATCGAAGAAACATTGCTTCCTTCTATCTCTCTAGTTTAGTAATCCAGCTAAGCTTAGCTAAAAGGGAGATCGATGGAACTTTGATTTCATCTATCTCCCTTCGGGTCTCCACTCGCAGCAACCTCCACGTGGTGAGACCTGGTAATCGGTGTCACCCACGATAAAAAAGCTTTTCTATCGTGGATAACACCGAGCTAATGGCTGCGAATTTAGAATTGTTTCTTGATATAATAAACGAATTTAGATTTATAGATAGGCAGGTGTTTTTGGTTAGCCATTGTGTTAGGCAGGTTATTTTTATTTTAACACATTACCGACCGATAGCCTATTAATCGACTTTTTTACCGGCCAACACTTACCGACCGATAGCGTATTAATCAACTTTTTTACCGACCAACGCTTACCGACCGATAGCCGATTAATCAACCGCTACCGGTCGGTAAAGTGTTAAGACAAATTCTTTTGAAGACTCTTTCAATTCTCTTCGTTGGTTGTGCATCTTTCATTCGTTGCACTTTCGTTTGTTTCTTCTTCGACCAACAGAAGATCTTTATAAACACTTTGGCTGCCACGTCACCCATATATGGGTGACAAGACTTTTCCACTGTGGAACTAAAACAATTTATACTCTAAAATTAAAATTTAAATGTTAAATAAATTTGTATAGGACGAAGTTCAACGTGGTTACGAAAATAAGTACCGAAGGCAAACTTTAAGTTATGCAGTTTACAATTACTTAAAATCGAAGTTTCGATCTCGTAGAAAATTGTACGGTTTTGGTGTGGCAGTCAACGTGTTAATGGAGGGTGGTTGGGAATCGGTTAGGGCGGGTCTCCATTCGCAGCAACCTCCACGTGGTGAGACCTGGGTAATTTTATTTACCGTTTAATTACTAATCGTATCACTCTTAGCTGGGTAATGCAATTATTAATTAAAGACTGAATAATATTAGCAAATTGGCTGCGATCCGCCTTGCATAGACTATTATAAATATAGAGCTTCTTTGATAGGTTAGTTTTGATTCTCATTGATTCATCAAAGATTCTAGAGGTATACGAGTAGATCTTTAACACAATATATTTTTTTGGTCCATTTTTATGGGGTCTAGAAGCTCCATTATCATTTTCGTGTCATTCGCAACGTTACCAACAGATTCAGAAATTTAATCCCTTCCATAGTCAATTTACATGTATTTACGCAAACACACTACATTTGTCCATCAATGCTAATTCAGTGAATAGTTTCTCAACTGACCACCATCCATGAGAAGAGGACGTTGAAATCACCTCCGAATTTTCAGGTCGGTATGGCAGTTAGATTGGGCCGCGAAAGTCCATAAGGTGAAGATCTACTCGTATACTTTGTCTGTGGTGTAAAGTCTACTCGTATACCTCGTTTTTGATAAAAGGATAATTGCCTGCAGTTGGTACGTCGTAGAGAAAGGGTTGTGTCGACTGGGGAAATTCGAGTGTCCGTCGGTAAAGAACAAACGGCGAAGCAGAAAATCGATGGGCAGCTCGGTGGAGATAATTCGCGGCGTCCTGAACGTACCCTCGGATGGTGTCTCCGTGGTCGGTAACGCGATATTGATATTTCCAAGAGAAAAAGAAAATCACATTCTATGCTCCCATTAACCGTTATTCACCAACCATAATCTCGAGAATAAGCTTCGATCGTAGATAGAATATTCTTATATTTCTTGGGAAACCTAGTGCAGGAGTTTGATTGCAAAATTCGCTATCGTAATTTATTCTTACCTTGTCCTCCGCCTCGTCGGCTCGACCCTCCGCTTCCAAGACCCGCTGCTCGAGCTCCGAGAGCTGAAAGCAGAAAACACGATCGTTTACGCACCGTCGATCCTTGAAACTATTACGTATAATTCGAACGACTGTAAGCTTAAAAAATTCTGTTCGCAATCGACACCGATCGCGACTTAAAGAAATAAAATCCCTTTGCAACGGTTTCGTGCAAGTTGGTGCAGGTTATATTCCCTAGATTCGCGTGTCGGCCCGCCGTGTGGTTCCAGACTAAATTTCCCCGCGAAACGAACAGCCGCGATAAAGGTTACCCCGACACCTGCATTGTTCGCAAACAATAAACGGTCAACGTCCATCGAAATGGCAGTCAGGTGCCAGCGAACAGCCGGAGCCGTGGTGTTTCGCAAAAATGAAATATTCATAATCCGCCGTCAGCCGGCACCCGTGTATCGAGAAGCATTCTCGGTAGAGTCCGCCGGAAGGAGGGGGACGGGGGGCTATTTTCGCGTCATGTAATTTTCCTCGAAGGAGGAAAAGTTTCATCAAACTCGGTTAAGTCCATAGCCGACACGTAGTGCTCGGCCGACGAGAGTTTAATGGATACCACGGACTTAAGCGGCTCCTGGAAGCCTGCTTGATCCGCCAAAGATTGATACGCGCGCGTCGCGGACTGACGCGTCTCTGTATTTCCTCCGTCTCGCCCCCCTTTGGAACGTCGGGAATTCCAGCCGGGAAAAGGGAAGAAATTCATTTACGGACCAAGGGACGAATTACGCCTCCTTCGAATCCTTCTAATCCAAACGTAATGAAGTTTTCGAGAAAATTGTTCGCGGAGGAATAAACGTAGTCTGGACGTTAATCCGTTATTCGACCATCTGCTACGTCAACGAACGTCTCGTGTAACCGTTAGAATGTAAGACGACACCCGATTATCTCGATGAGTCGGTTGACCTTCCTCGGATCGAAAAACAATGGGGTCCACTGTTCGGGTGACCATAGGCGCGAGGCACCGTGGGAACAAAGCCAGGCAGCGAGCAGTTGTTGTGACGGCGGTTAGAGACTTTTTTTCAACGCGTTCCAATGCATCGCTACATATCTGTAATATCACAGATTACTGTTGGAAATATTTCAAACATGCACGTGTTGGAAATATTTCAGTTTTCCTCGTTGGCAAACGTGCACACTATCTTTTGTTTTAGTATAACAATTGAATAGTATTCAGTAGTATGTATGCAAGGATTCGTGCAATGTTAAAATATTGTTGGATTCCAACGCTTTATCTAAGAAAAGAAAACTCGTACAACTATTACGTCGACTAAAGATTAGACTCTTTCTGTCCGTTTTTCGATATTGCAGGCGTTTATATGTTATTGGTAGAGAAGGGTACGAGGTTCAGGATGAGTAAGGATTAGAAATCTGGACTAGGATGTTTTGGATGAGTAATGTTTACGAGGTGACGGAGTGGTGTTTGGTCGTGTTGGTCATCCAACAATATAACCTAAAAATTATATGCGTCGTTTTATCGTCTAATCTTATAACCTCCGCTACAATTAGTTACTACCTACTAAATTTGCTTTCTATCTCAGGATTCATGCGAAAAAGACTTTGATAGTATTCTTACACGTATAACGCAATAAAAATAAAAACAGTGAAATATGTGAACGTTTCGACCGATCACCAGTAGCCGCCATGACAGTCAACCCGTCGAACGATCGATTCGCTTATAAATACATGATTCCAATGATTCCCGCGACCTCGATCACTCGTGTCGTTTAGAATGCCCAAAAATGTAAAGTAATGTCGGAAGAGCCGAAAGTATCGGCTTGAAATGGCCGATCCGCGGCGCTCGTCAGTCCGGACACGCGTCTGTTCCGCAAATTGCTATTAAACGCGCGCAAATAGCGGCGCGTTACATCCGCAATTGGAATCGTACGGGGTCGGAACGACGGACAGCAGTTCCCGCCTTTCACAGTGTCAATTACCGTCGAGCGATGAATCGTTCTCTCGTTAACCAGCGCCGGGCGCGATAAATACTCTCGTTATTTGATCGGCGCCCGCGCCCTTATTGCATAAACAGTTTCGGCGCGGAATAAATTTCAGAGGGTTTCGTTAGAGAGGGGGGAGGACGGACGGACGACGGAATTCCGGGGTCGCGGCAATAACGGGGGCGGCGAATTCGCAAAGTTTTCCAGGCTCGTTTCGCGCGCTGCGAACACGACCGTCGGCCGCTCGCCAACGGGTGATTAATTAAAACGGAGGTTAATATACGGGTCGAGGGCTCGACTTTAAGAGCAATTCATACTGTCCCGGGGGTCAACCACGGAATACTTTTAAGCCGTCTCTAACGCTGGATAGGATGGAAAGAGTACGTCGCGGAGGCTACCAGCTCCCGGACTCTCCGGGCCAGCTTTAATGGGCTACCCTGCTAATTCCGAGGAGACTTAAATCACGGACGGCGGTGTCGCGTATCGGAACCCGTCTCTCGAACGGAATTACCCACTATTCCGGTGAATGGCCGACACGCGCGGAAAATGGGGATCCTCCCGACCGGCTGACGAGCCTTCTGGGACGACGAGATCTACACGCGACACGGGTCGCCATTGCGCGAAATTTTCCCAGCCTCGGTATCTCGGATTCCATCTGCTATGGTTTTACAGCTAGCGACGATCGAGTTTACAAAATAATCTAGACGATTTAACCCTTGGGTTAACAACCAAAACAGTCACGGTAATTATTTTATTACTATGTTTTCTTCTACGTTCTTTCCAAGACCTCCCACGCATATATTTTCGGTAAAGAATTTTTTTCTCGAAATGCAGCGGATTTCGAGTGGATGTGTATTCACCATAAATGATTGCAATCCATCCCTGCTACTGAAAATAATTTTTCCAGAATGATTTGAAACTTTTCAATTTTGGCGAAAAATTTCGGCAACTACTCGAATTTTTTTCTCGAAAGTGGGTAGGATTTCAAGGTTATGTCTAATGACCAAAAATGATTGTAATCGATCCCTGCAACTGAAAATATTTTTTTCAGAATGATTTCAAACTTCTCAATTTTGACGAAAAATTTCCCATCTTCTCGAATTTTTTTCTCAAAAATGCGTAAGATTTCGTGGGTATGCCTATTCACCAAAAATGATTGCAATTGACCCCTACAATCGAAAATAATTTTTCCAGAATGATTTGAAACTTTTCAATTTTGTCGAAAAATTTCGGCACCTTCTCGAATTTTTTTCTCGAAAGTGGGTAGAATTTCAGGGGTATGTCTAATGACCAAAAATGATTGCAATTGACCCCTACAATCGAAAATAATTTTTCTAGAACAATTTGAAATGTTTTAATTTTGTCGAAAAATTTCCCATCTTCTCGAATTTTTTTCTCAAAAATGCGTAAGATTTCGGGCGTATGTCTATTCACCAAAAATGATTGTAATCGATCCCTGCAACTGAAAATAATTTTTCCAGAATGATTTGAAGCTTTTCAATTTTTACGAAAAATTTCGGCACTTACTCGAATTTCTTTCTCGAAAGTGGATAGGATTTCGAGGGTATGTCTATTGACCAAAAATGCTTGTAATTGACCCCCGCAGCTAGAAATAATTTTTTCAGAATGATTTAATCAAGTAGGAGAATGAGCCGGTGTCCAGGGACGAAGGATCTCATCAGCGGGGTAGGGTTGTGTTGCAGTTAGTGGCATCTGGTGTCGAAGAGGGTGGCGCGTAGAAACGGAGGGAAAAAAGTACGTATGAAAAGAGGAGAGGAGCCAGCCGTGTCGAGAGTCGGAGGGAAAACGTAGAAACGTTCTTCGAGACGCGGTAGGCGCGGATTTCCTGGGGGCGTTCGAGTCTCGCGACTCGAGAATAAAGGACGTCTCGACGAGGGGCGAGGACGGGGTACATTAGCCGCAAACGGGACTACTCCCCCGTCGTAGTGTCGTTGGGAGGAGGATCTCTCAAACTGTCGTCAGCGTGTTTAAGCTTCCTTTCTTTCCTTCTGGCCGCGATTCGGCGACGACCACGGTCGGCTCCGTGCAATAAAGGCTTATGAAAATCCGTCCTTCGACTCCAGGAGCCGACCGTCACAGCGTCTCCTCGCCGGACGAAGAAAAGAGGAAAGGAGCCTTTCGTCCCCCGTGAATAACCAAAGAGACGCCGCGCTGTGTCTTTGTGTACGTTTGAACGAACGACGGACGCTCCCGTGGAACATCAAAGGGGGCGCTGTTGGTTAATTTAGGGTGTCGAACGATGCGTCGCGATAACGCGACGAAATTCGCGTCGAGACTTTCGAGATTAGGTTCGGGGATTTCGTAATGGCAACGTCAGGTTTCGGGTTGCACTTTGTTACTAGGCGCCATTTTATTTGGAAACTTTTCTTGTATTTTTTAACGCTACAGCGAAACTTCCGCACTCGCGGCTTGTTAGAGTCAAGAGCAAAGGAAAGAAAACGGCGTGGATATTAGGAAAGTTTTCCGAATCACGTAAACTTTGGGGAACGAAATTACTAGAATACGATCCTCCATTTTTTATTTGTCATAGACAAAACAGCCTTTGTACGTTCAACGCTAGATTTACGAACATCGATCGTATTTTAATCAGAGCATAAATTTATAATTTAGCGTTAAAAAGATTCCCTTTCATCTTTGTAACGAGAGAATCGGAAAAATGTATTTCCCAGCCACCGAGCCGCGACATTTACGAATCACCGTTCGTCGTGGCGAACAAACAATTCGTCGGGGAACGAATTCGTTTCTGTTATCCCCGAGGAGAGACACCACAAAGACCAGAGTCGAACAAAAGGTTAATCGCGACGTCGTAAATTCCACGGTATTGTCCCTGCGATCGAAAGGACAGCCCTTGGGGTTCGGTGGCGCACGCGAGGATGATTAAAGGATCTGTTCGAAGATAAGAATAAAAAACTGATTTCCTACTTTCGCGTTTCCTTAACGTTTTCGAGCAAACATTATCTTCAAAGGATCGTGGTAAAATGAGAAACATTAGCAACACGATACAGAATTCTGATTCTGATTCTAATCCTTGTTTAGAAGATTCCTTGATCTTCCTCC